GGTCTTTCTTCATTCCAATCCTCTGGCTCTGGGGCCTCCAGCTCCGGTCTGTTTACCAACAGCTCTGGGAAGTCAGTTCTCAAGGCTGCAGCCTCCCATTCCCATCTATTCAGCCTCAAATCCTCCCATCCTCAAATCCCCCACTGGAAACAGCCACACCTGCGACACTGACCTGCGGTGCTTGTGGCTGGGCCTCTGCTCCTGACAGCTCCCACCCACGAAATAATGACTCTCCTTGTTGGCAGCCACCACACCAGGCACAGCCATTGATCCAACACACATTTGATGAACACCAATTGTGTACCAGGGACACAAAGCTCATTAAGATAGAGCCCCTGCCCCAGAGGCTCACAGTCTGCCCAGGAGATACAAGTCACTTACATCACTGGAGTTTTAAGTGCTGACTCAGCAGTGTGCGCGAGAGGATACAGGGCAGGCAGGGACTGCTAAAAGCAGAAAGGAGGGCAGCATGGGAAAGGCACGGAAACTAAACACCGTGCCAGCTTCTGAAGAAAGCCAGGTGTAACTGGAATGTTAACAGATAGCAGCGGGAACGCCTGGAGTGGAGCCTGGCCAGGGGCTTGCATCCCACCTTCCTGCATCCAACTGCCAAGCGGGCTAAGGCTGCTGGTCAACCCACAGAGAAGCATCATTCTCAGCCACAACACCATCCCCTTCACTTGGAAGGAAGACAGTGGCCGCTTCCTCCACGCAGCCTTCCTTACTTACATTCCAGCCAAGAGGACGGAGGTCACAGGAAGTAAAGACGTGGGGGTGGGGGGACAGAAACAGACCCCATACAGGGACCAGATCTAAACAGGACAGGCCTGGCAAACCCAGCCCAGTCCAAGCCAGTGTTGAAAACCAAGAGGGGTGACAAGGACGGTACAAATATCTATTGGGGGCTGAAACATGCAACTATCCACTAGTGGAAACAGGCCCGGGCGAGCTGGCACTCCCAGGTAAGGGGTGGAGATGCAGTTGAGAACCCACAGGAGCAGGAGGATAAAGGACAGGCAAACGACAATCTGGCTGAGGGTGGGGGAGCTGTTTGTATCAGACAAGCTGAAGCCCAAAACAACAGTACCTCCTTGCCAGCTGTGGGGTCATCTGGAGTTACCGGGGATGCTCCTCTGTCCTGAATGGGGGCCTTGGGGCTCCCTAGCTACACAGACCACTTCATCATGAGGGGCGCAGCTGTACCTGCCTGGGCCGTGTTCAGAACCCAGGGATGCAGGGTGGGGAACAGGAGAAACTGGTTGGTCTCTTGGGGGTGTCCACCATCCTCTGTGGGGTAGCCAAGGACACCTCCTGTTCTCCCTCTGTCTCAGAAACCTCCTCCTCTGTTTTCTGGGGTTCTAGACCCCCTGGGCGAACTGGTTCCAGTTTCTTGGCAGCTGACTTAGCAAATTCTGAAAGTGCAGGCACAGGAGGTGGCTGGCCCCACCGGACCAGGATCAGAGGTACACGCAGAACTGGACAGGGCAGGGGCCCCCTCGGGTGCAGGGGCGCTCTCCTTGGCCAGCTGCTGCTTGGGCAGAGCATTTCTGGATGTAGAGTTTGACCTAGAAACAGCAGGGCTGGCCAGAACAGCTGCAACAGGCCTGAGGGGAGGGCCCATGTTGAGAGCCAGAGCCTCTGAGAACTGAGCTAAGCATTGCCTCACCACAGGCAGCTGTGGGTCCACTGGTGGCTGGCTGGAGGCTGGGGCAAGGCGTAGGACACTGCAGCATGGTACTCAGCAAAACTGTTTGGGTCTTGAGTAACTTCCTTAAGATCCTGGCAGAAGAGCTTGTAATCATCAGGCAGGGGCAGGTCCCCATCGAGGTAGGGAGGTGCCCATGTCCAGGCTCAGCCTATCAGGCGTTCAAGGACCTCATAGACGCGGCTGAGGTTGTCCTGATAGTGCTCGAAGTGGAAGGACATGTATTCACCCAGCTAGGCCAAAAAGTGATCCAACAGCCACGGGGAGCCATCAAAGGTGCCTGAGGAGCCATCAAAGGTGCCTGGATCTGAGCCTGGCACTCAGTGGAAGTCCACCCTGAGGGGCCAGGGGCCAGGCATGCACCCAGCCGGGGGACCCCTTTCTTTGGGCTTACCGCCGGGAGTGCCACTAGCTGTGCTCTTCTGCTCCGTGGTCGTGAGCACACACACAGGGTCCCCGCAGCAGGGCCACTCAATCCAGGGATCCACAAGGGGGGGTGTATGCCAGCCCAGGAGAGGCTGGGTCCATCTGCTGCTGAGGGTGTGCATTGGCGTAATTGGCTGCTGCCCAGATGGGATTACGAGGGCCCAGCCCACGGCGCCAGCCACGAGGCATGCTGGGAGTAGAGGGGGGAAGGTAAAAGAGCCGGCGCAAGAAGGAGGGTGGGGACAGAGGCTGCCCACAGGACACAAGACAGGAATCAGCTGGACAGGGTGTGCAGACCTGGACCTTTCTAGGCAAGTGCTGAGGATCAGGGGAGCTGACAGCTGCAGCCTCAGGAGAGCTGAGAAGAGCTGAGGGGACTGTCAGACGCAGGCCATCATCCAAGGCAATCTGTCCAAAAACAAGGTGGGGAAGAGCGCGAGCGAGGCCAACCGTCACCACTGGGCTAGCAGGCGGAGGCAGCAGCAGGCAAAACCCTGGTTCCCAACCAGGATCTCCGAGTGGGAGGAGGGACCCAGGGGGCTGACCTAGGAGGTCCAAGAAGGCAGGCAAATGCCACCTGTGACATGTCAAGGGCAAGGTACAACAACAGATGCTGTCTATTCCAGAAGAAGAAAGGGGGCCAGATCGGGACTGTCAGGGGATTTCAGGACAATGATAGTAGCAACCTTTTACTGAGTGCTTTTTTCATGTCAGACAGTGACCACCCCACAAGAGGTTGGTACTATTGTCATCCTGTTGGCACAAAGTGGTGACGTAACTCTCCTGCAGCCACACTCCAACCAGTAAGTGGCGGAGGAAGTGGAACCTGGCTGTAGAGACCACAGGCTTAACCACCACACATCACACAGATCATAGGCTACACTTCAGTCTGCTGAGTAGGCTCCCAGCCACATCAAACACTGAAAACTAACATTAAGTACACAGATTCTGTCATGAGATTCTTTTCCATCCCAGTACCAGGCACACGGCAGGTACTACCTGCATCCCGAAAGAAGATAATAGTCCCGCCATTATCTGTTCCCCACTGTCCCCC